GTCATATTGCATGCACAAACCTCTCTATAAAATGTTAGATAGCGAACCGCCGAAGGTCAGGAACTTGTCGTTTTACTGCTGCTGATAAGGCTTCACGGGCAAAACCGAATCACTAAGTATGTTTTGCACTCAAACCGATAGGAACTGTTTATAGAAATAATAGAGGGTACCTCAGAAAGGGGCTTGGAACTCCGATATAAACTCCCCGCTGTGATGGACGCCAGAGAGGTTTCAGAAGCGGAGATGACGGCGAGAACGTACACGATGGCTAGCGAAAGGTTAAGCGACGACGACGCAAAACAATATTGCTAGGTATGACTGTTACCGGCAAACCGAAGATCCCATGGAATAATGAAGAGTTAAGAAGCACAAGGGCTTCAAACTCTTCAAACTGTTCTTGAGAGAGAGAGAGAGAGAGAGAGAGAGAGAGAGAGAGAGAGAGAGAGAGAGAGAGAGAGAGAGAGAGAGAGAGAGAGAGAGAGAGAGAGAGCGGAAGCGATTGAACGGTGGGGCGCCGCTACGATAATGCAGGAGGAGTCTGTAGGAGCTCAGTATTGCATTTAGCAAGAACATTCGATCCACGATTCCATTCATTTTACTTACACAAGAAATCAAAACGATTGATTCGCGGTTGTTAAAAATAAGCTTCCAGTTTGTCAAACTAAAAAAGTATTACTCCCTGCAGCTTGAGTTCTCATTTTTTTTTTTGCGTGTTCTGCGTATGCAGGCTTTTTCTCGAGGTCAAGCCGGCGATCCCGCTGTGGGGCTTGCAGTGAGGAGGTTTTCGCTATTCCAGACGCAACGAGAGCTGTGTACGACCACCAAAACCGGCACGTTTTACTTGTGGGCAGTACCGACGGCTTCGGTCACACTCGTGTATCCGTCACGACTCAGCAGCGCCGCCAGCTCCTTCTTGGCACGTGGCACAGCCAACGGGCTCTCGTAGATCAAGCACGAGTACATCTGCACGAGTGACGCACCGGCGCGGATCTTGTCGTACGCGTCCTGACCCGTGGAGACACCGCCCACACCGATGAGCGGGATCTGGCCCTTAGTCAGCTTGTACATGTCGCCCAGCACCTTGGTGGACAGATCACGCACAGGCAGACCACTGAGTCCGCCCGTCTCGCCCTTAGCGGCACCCTTCAGCGTATCCGGACGACTCAGCGTCGTGTTGGACACCACCAGTCCGTCCAGCTTAAGTTCGAGAGCCACGTCAGCGATATCCTGCTTGTCGTCCTCTGTGAGGTCGGGTGCAATCTTCACCAGTAGAGGAATGTTGCGCTTCTCCGTGGCCGCGACCTCGTCACGGGCCTTAAGTACGCGCTCCAGCAGTTTCTGTAGTTGGATCTTACCCTGTAAAGTACGCAGTCCCGGAGTGTTGGGCGACGACACGTTCACGACCAGGTAGTCGGCGTACTTGCCCAATGCGTGGACGCCCTGTACGTAGTCGGCCGCTGCGTCTTCGGTCAGTTTGTTCTTGCCAAGATTAACGCCCAACACGCCAGCACGGTGACCATTTTCCTGGCGTTTGGCACGGGAACCGACGTATCTCTCGAGACGGGCGCCGACGTATTCGAGCCCTTTGCTGTTGAACCCGTAGCGGTTGATGACGCCTCTGTCTTCGGCCAGTCTGAAGACACGGGGCGTCGGATTGCCCGGCTGCGGCTTGGGCGTAACGCTGCCGATCTCGACGCAGCCAAAGCCCATGTCCAGCATCCCTTCCATGGCCTCTCCGTGCTTATCGAAGCCAGCGGCGATACCCAGTGGGTTAGTGAATTCAAGACCAAGAGCCTTAACGTGCAGCAGCTCCGGATCAGTCTCCGGATCCTTAGGCGTCAAACCGAAGCGCGCGCATTGCACAGCGATCTTGTGGGCGGTTTCGGGCTCAAACAGCCGCACGACGGGCATCATAGGCTCGGCCAGCTGCCGGATGACCCATTCGTGTGGCACCACGCCGTTGTACGCTGCCACGACGGCCGCTGCGGCACCGCCACCCACAGCCACATACGCAGCGGTGTGGAAGCCTGACGAAGAGGATGCAGCGGAGCTGAAGGACGCGCTCTGAAGCGTTCGTGACGCCCGGCGGATTGAGGATGTAGCTGCGCGCATCTTCGATCAATGGAGAGTGACGGCTGGCCTAGAGACAATCCCTTCTATAGTCATAGAAACCATTATTCCTTCATAAGGGATTTTTTTAACTGCGATAAAAACTGTCCACCGTGTACCGTTATTCTGGCACATCTCTGCAAGCTATTCTTATTGAGGTGCTCCATCATTACTAACCAGGGGATTGTCTTTCTCCATAGTAGAGACAGGCTGGTCATTTGCCAATTCGCTGTACCGGACGGAGTTGAAACTCATGGCGAAGAAGCGCGTATCATACTTCTACCACCGTACGTGGACGACCCCAAGGCCGTAGAGCAATCTACTAATCAATACATTGAGCAGCGGAGGTGGGCCACTTTTACTATGGCCCGGGACACCCTATGAAGCCCCATCGGATGAAGCTAGCGCATTACCTGGTTGTCAACTACGACCTGTACCAGAAGATGGACGTCTTTGTACGGCAGAACTGAAGAACTGGACGTGACGAATGAAAACTAAAGGGCTTTACCTTGATGTAGGAGCCGCACTGGGCGTCTGCGGACGAGATGAAGGTGTTCCACGCGCCAGACTACATTGAGTTCCTACAACGAGTGAGTCCGGCGAATCAACGGGACATGGCGATGGACATGACGAAATGTACGTTTATCTGACGTCGCTATGGTAAGAACTGAACTAATGAAGGTGAACAGATAACTTTGGAGAGACGAGCGACACGGATTGCCCCGTGTTTGACGGCGTGTTCGACTTTTGCCAAATCTACACTGGAGGAACTCTAGGTTGGTAGCGTATTATATGCTGATTTAAAGACTATAAGCTCAGGTTTTGTCAACAGATGCGGTGGTGCGTCTGAACTTCGGACTGTGCGATATTGCGATCAACTGGTCTGGAGGCCTCCACCACGCGAAGAAGGCTTCAGGGTCGGGATTTTGCTACGTGAATGACATCGTGCTGGGTATTCTAGAGCTGCTCAAGTGAGTTTATTTAGTGAAAAAGGATGATCTAGACAGTGGAGTTAACCCTGTTTGCCACCAGATACCACCCTCGTGTGCTGTATATCGACATCGACGCACACCATGGTGACGGCGTGGAGGAAGCCTTCTACGTCACAGACCGCGTGATGACGGTATCGTTCCACAAATATGGCGACTACTTTCCAGGCACCGGTGATATTAAGGTATACTCCTTAAAGTCTTTGACTTGGATTGAATTGATTGTAACGCGTAGTCTTGACAGGATATTGGTGCGAAGAATGGGAAATATTACGCCGTGAACTTCCCACTACACAGTGGAATGGACGACGACAGCTACGAAAGTATATTCAAACCGGTGATTGAGAAAGTGATGGAGACTTTTTGTCCCTCTGCAGTGGTGCTTCAGTGTGGTGCAGACTCACTGACAGGCGATCGTCTCGGCTGCTTCAACGTAACTACACGAGGCCATGGCGAGTGCGTCCGCTTCGTGAAAGGCTTCGGTCTTCCGATGCTTGTGTTGGGCGGTGGTGGCTATAGAATTCGCAATGTTTCCCGTGCGTGGGCCTACGAGACGTCCGTTCTGGTGAACCAGGACGTATCCAACAATATTCCGTACAACGACTACTTTGAGTTCTACTCGCCAGATTTCAAACTGCATCTGGTCCCCGACAAAGATCTCAAGAACGACAACACTAGGGAGTATCTGGAAACCCACAAGTGTGTTTAACACGGGATGCCTTTGAAGGAATAGCTACTGAACTGTTATGTCTGCAGGATCAAAATCTTTGAGAATCTACGCTCACTTACAGGCGCTCCAAGCGTGCAGATGCATCAACCGCCCCCTGTCCGGATGCTGCGAGAGGAAGACGAAGATGCAGTCGACCCAGATCTTAGATCTGAAAACGACGGGAAACACCAGCACGAGGCGGAATTTTATCACGACGAACACGACCAAGACAACAATGAAGTACCCGAAGCACCAGACGTTGTCCCCATGGACGTCGACAACTAAAAACATAATGAACGTGAACTTAAGTTTTGAGGTGTAAACTTCTCGCCATGGATTGGTGTGGGATATCTGCTTCAAGATGTGCCATACAAAAGTTAGTATTACGAGGCCATTTGGCACGGTACTTGGTGCGTGATCACACGAACGTGGCATCACTCACGTTGAGCTTCAACACCCTTGTATTCTTCGCTCACTTTACGCTTCTCCTCATCGAGTTCGCTTCTGGATGATCCGTCACGTTATTCACCGAAGTGCTTCCAGTCTACGAACCACCCAAGAATTCGACTATGTCATCGTCGGTGGAGGTTCGGCCGGGTGTGTCCTCGCCAACCGACTGAGTGCCGATGCGTCCAACTCCGTGCTGCTGGTGGAGACTGGACCCAAAGACCGTGGGCTTTTCGACTCCATTCGACTGGCGATGCCTGCCATGTTGACTGCCAACCTCATCGATGACCGGTACAATTGGAACTACGTCACAGAACCGCAACAACATTTAAACGGACGTCGCCTGACATGGCCCAGGGGACGAGTTCTAGGCGGTTCCTCTTCTATTAACGCGATGATCTACAATCGAGGTCATGCACTGGACTACGACGACTGGCAACAGGCTGGAGCCGACGGATGGAGCTACGCAGACTGCTTGCCATACTTTAAGAAGGCTCAGACCCATTCACTCGGAGCTGACGAGTATCGTGGAGGTGATGGCCCGTTAAACGTAACCAGAAGATTACAGCGAGACCAGCCGTTGTACCAAGTATTCCTCGACGCTGCGATGCAGGCAGGGTATCCATTCACAGACGACGTGAACGGATACCAACAGGAAGGTGTAGGCTGGTTGGATCATACGATCCACAACGGACAGAGATGCAGTGCTTCTGCTGCGTATCTGACAGACTCTGTACTAGCACGAGAGAACTTGAGTGTTGTTACTGATACGTTTGTGAACAAAGTGGTGTTTGAAGGGAAGAAGGCCGTCGGAATCGAGACTGAGCCGATCAAAGCTGATGGAAACCCGCCGACCCAAATCCGAGCGAAAGAGGTGATTCTGTCGAGTGGAGCGATCAATTCTCCACAGTTATTGATGTTATCCGGTGTGGGAGACGCCGAGCATTTGAAAAAGGTCGGAACACCCTTAGTACACCACCTCCCAGCAGTAGGACAGAACATGGAGGAACATCTCGGCGTTTACTTGCATGTAGCATGCAAGAAACCTGTGACGCTGTACCATGCAACACCCCATTTCCCACACAAGATGGTGTGGATGGGGATCCAGTGGCTGGTGTCCAAGACTGGCATGGGCACCTCGTCACACATTGAAGTCGGCGGGTTTTTCCGCAGTGCACCGGGCAAACGCCATCCTGATCTTAAGTGGCAATTCCTGCCCGGTGCAAGTGACGAAAACCGGCAACTCTTGCGTGACGGCCACGCTATGATGCTTCATTGTACCCCGCTACGCGCAACGAGTCGAGGATACATCAAACTGCGTAGTGCAAACCCGCGAGATAGTCCCGTTATTCAGCCTAATTACTTGGCAACGGAGACTGATCGTGTGGACATGCGCAATGGCGTGAGATTGACGCGAGAAGTGCTAAAACAACGAGCATTTGATGAATATCGCGGCGAAGCGATATCTCCAACTGATGAAGTGCAGTCTGATGCTGAAATTGACGCGTGGATTCGACAATATGCTAGTACGGATTACCATCCGTCGAGCACGAATCGAATGGGTAAAGAGGCCGATAAAGGCACGGTAGTGGACGCTCAAACACGCGTTCATGGCTTGGAAGGACTGCGTGTAGTGGACGCGTCGATCATGCCCAACAACGTCAGTGGAAACCTCAACGCACCCACTATTATGCTCGCTGAAAAAGCTGCTGATATTATCCTCGGCAAACCGCCGCTACCCAAGCTCGATGCTCCGGTGTATGCAGCTAAGAACTGGGAGACAAGTCAGCGATGAAGATCCCACAGGCTTGCGTAGTTACATGTCACGTTACGTCGTCTCCCTTCAAACCGTGTAACAGAAAGCCCGTTGGTCGATTTTTCAATGTCGTTCTTTTGTATCTCGAGTGTCCGATGACGAGAAGCATTCGCGTAGGACCGTAAATTTTCCTTTGTCATACTGCTCACTTGTTGTTTTCAAACAGAGTGTGAAAATGGCGACTTCTACTAACATCCCGACAGCTCAACTATCGCGTGGTTTAGCCCCGATCGGGCAACGACAGTATCAACCGCTTCTGTCCAAGTTGAAACGACCTGATCTTGTGAGTGCCCAAGGCTTCATCAACGGAAAATGGGTCGAGGCACATGGTGAAGATCATTTCACTGTCTTTGGTAAGTATCTTGCTTTTAGCAAATTTGTTTCATAATCTGATGTATTTTACTTGTGTAGATCCTGCAACGGAGCAGGAAATCGCCTGTGTTGCGAACATGGGAGCTGAAGACACTTGTGATGCCATAACCGCTGCATCCGCGGCCCAGCGTCAGTGGAAGAAAACTACGCCACCGGTAAGAGGAACTCGAATTTCTACACACTAATCGCCGATATTAACCATGTTAATTCTCCAGAACCGAGCAAAGTTGCTGAAACAGTGGGCTGCTTCTATTAGCGCCAATGCCAAAGATTTAGCCATTATCGGATCTTTGGAATGTGGCAAACCCTTACCGGAAGCCAAATGGGAAATTGAGTTCGCAGTTGGCGCGATCGAGTATTTCTCGCATGAGATTGTACGCTCCAGTGGGTTCCTGATATCGCCGACTCAGCCATCCCAGAAGATACTCGTCATGAAGGAACCTGTGGGTGTATGTGGTATCATATCACCTTGGAACTTTCCGTATGCGATTCTGGGGTTGAGTCTGGGTCCTGCACTAGCTGCTGGATGCACCACCGTCATCAAACCCGCAGGAGAGACTCCTCTCTCAATGCTCGCATTGGCTAAACTCGCTGAGGAAGTCGGTTTACCACCAGGAGTTCTCAACGTTATCACAACTTCTAGAGAAAAATCTGAAGAGGTTGGTAAGGTGTTGACATCAATCCCTGACGTTAAGAAGATCACGTTTGCGGGCTCGACTCAAGTGGGTAAATGGTTAATGCGTCATTCATCCGAAACAGTGAAAAGTTTGTCCGTCGAACTGGGAGGCAACGCTCCGTTTATCGTGTTCGAAGACGCTGACCTAGAGAAAGCCCTTGATGGTTTGATCCGATCCAAGTTCTCCAACACGGGTCAGGCCTGTATCGCTAGTAACCGCATTTTCGTTCACTCATCTATCTACGAAAAATTTGCTGATAAAGTGGTGGAACGAGTTAAAACCCTCAAGATGGGACTACCCCTGGAAGACGGTGTGCAGCTGGGACCTTTGATCGGGCATTCCGCAGTTAAGAAAGTGGCTGGTTTAGTCGAAGACGCTGTGGGTCACGGCGCAAAGGTTCTGGTTGGAGGAAACTGCAGTGATCTCGGCAAGAATTTCTATGAAGCAACGGTCTTGACTAAAGTTGACGAGTCTATGGGAATCTGGAATGAAGAAATTTTTGGCCCAGTGATCCAGTTATCCAGTTTTTTGAGCGAGGAAGAAGTGATTCAGAACGCGAACGACACGACGGCAGGACTGGCGGGGTATTTCTACACCCAGGATGTGGCTCGGATCTTTCGAGTTGCCAGTGAGTTGGAGTGCGGGATGGTTGGTGTGAACAGCGAATTGGTAACCCATGTCGGAGCTCCGTTTGGTGGAATCAAGGAATCCGGTATTGGACGTGAAGGTTCGTCTGAAGGTCTGGAGGAATACTTGGAGACCAAAATGGTTTGCGTTGGTGGGCTGTAATCTCAGAGCCTGGCTCAGATTAGGCACAGTAGCCGTTGAACCTAGGTTGTAGCGGTGGTAATTGGGTTGAATCGTTTCAAATGACCCCTACGAATTAACTAGCGACCGGCTTTCGCTCGTTCAATCGCTTCACTTTTTTTCTTTCTTCTCAAGCCCACGATGAAGTTCTCATCACTTGCACTGCTGTTCGCTGTTGTTGCTGTCTCCAGTGCGTTGGCCGAAGACCCAGAATTCACCTACAAGAGCGATTCGGATGCATTGAGTCCGTCCGAATGGGATGAAGGATACCCGATGTGTGGCGGATCCAAGCAATCACCGATCGATATTACGGCATCCAAACTGTGTACTTCGCATGTTCCTCCCCCGTTGGCGTTCACTGGCTCCTGTCCGAGCTATAACATGACGGAGGCCTCGGACTCCTATATGGCGGCAGTGGATGGAGGTACGTTAGAATTTTGTATATTCTCTTGATCGTATTAATTGAACATTTCGTGTAGGCGATTGCATTGTTACGGTGAAGGGGGAGACATACAACTTCGCCCAGTTCCATGTGCACACTCCGTCAGAGCACACTATCAATGGTAAGGCGTTCGATGGAGAGATCCACTTTGTACACAAGAAAGCAGATGGCTCGGCAGCTCTCGTGATCGGACTCTTCCTCGAAAAGAGCAATAAAGCCGACACCGAACCAGCAGTAGACATCATCGTGGACGCAATGAGCGAAGTCACGCACAGCACCTCCATTCCGATGACCCTGTACGCTTGAGTCTCCATCTGCCATAAAGACAGCCACTTACTATACTCTCAATGCTGTTTATCCACAGGGGTTCATACTCGGAGCTTCTTGACGTTTATATCAACAAGAGCCACGTCTACAACTACGCTGGTAGCTTGACGACTCCACCTTGCACCGAATTTGTGGATTGGTGGGTGATCCGCAAGCCCGCTAGAATCTCATCGGTTCAGTTTGATCGCATCGTAGCAAACCTCGCTGATCTAGAGGTTACTGACAACGGGAACAACGCACGCCCCGTTCAACCTCTCAACGGACGCACTGTCACGACGTACAATTGAGCTGTACGGCAGTTGCTTTAAGCCTTCTGACTGTAAGGAAAAAAATCGTCGTTGCACCGAAATTAAAATGAAACACTTGTTAGCATATCCTTATTTGGTCTTCGTCTCAGCTTTGTCGCTGATACCGCCATGGTCATCGACGTTATAGACTTCTCATTCCCAAACAAACTTGGCCAAGTGCAGATGAGTTCGAATCGTGATTCCTCGCGCCACCAACTGGGGCAGTCGCTAAGAAACCCCGACCTTGTGCGCTCGAAAGGTTATGTGAACGGCGAGTGGGTGGAAGGCCGTGGGGGTGAATACTTCGCTGTTGTGGGTAAGTGAGAGGTGTTAGCTAGGATATCTACGGTTTGGTTAATACATGCATTGCATAGATCCTGCCACCGACGAGGAACTCGCACAAGTGGCATACATGGGGAAAGATGAAGCCCATGAGGCTATTGCGGCAGCCTACGTAGCCCAACATCGCTGGAAAAAAGTCACCCCACCAGTAGGTTTGAAATTTGCTTTTCTTTGGTTTTTATTGCATTCTAACAAATAGTTTTAAGTCTCGCGCAGCGGTGATGAAGAAGTGGCACGCAGCAATTGTGGAGAATGCCGAGGATCTTGCCATCATCGCTTCTTGCGAGAGTGCCAAACCTCTTGGAGAAGCGAGGGCAGAGGTGGAATTCGCCGCTGGACTCGTGGACTACTACGCCCACGAGATTATTCGTACTAGCGGATATCTCGTTTCTCCATCCGATCCAGACAAGAAGGTGTTGGTCATGAAGGAGCCTATTGGCGTGTGCGCTATCATATCTCCTTGGAATTTTCCTTACGCGACGGTGATGAGGAACTTGGCACCTTGTGTGGCATCTGGCTGTGCTGCAGTTGTTAAGCCTTCAGGGAAAACACCACTGTCGATGTTGGCTCTTGCGAAATTAGCAGAAGATGCCGAAGTTCCGGCCGGAGTGATCAACGTGGTGACAGCTCCACGAGGCAGTCACTCAGGTATCGGGAAAGAACTAACGGAGAACCCCGACGTCCATCTGGTTGCGTTTACGGGATCAACTTCTGCTGGTAAGAAATTAATGGGTCAAGCGTCTGCCACAGTGAAGCACGTGGTTCTTGAACTGGGCGGCAATGCACCATTCATCGTCTTTGAAGATGCCGATATTGAGAAGGCACTGGACGGACTCATCGTCGCTAAATTCCGTTATAGCGGCCAGACCTGCGTCACTAGTAACCGCATCTTCGTTCAGTCGTCTATCTACGACAAATTCACCTCCAAAATTGTGGAGCGAGTTAAAGAACTGAAGATCGGTTTGCCTCTTGAGCATGGAGTGAAGTTGGGACCCCTCATTGGACCGGAAGCTGTCGAGAAGGTGTCTGCGTTGGTGGAAGACGCAGTGACGCATGGTGCTAAGGTACTTATTGGCGGCAAAAAGAATGATCTCGGCAAGAATTTCTACGACGCGACGGTGTTGACTAATGTAAACGAGAAGATGCGCATCTGGAACGAGGAAAATTTTGGACCGATTGTACCGCTTTTCTCTTTTTATAGTGAGGAGGAGGCTGTCCGCAAGGCGAATGATACGAATTCTGGCTTGGCCGCGTATTTCTATACGCAAAATGCATCTCGTATTTTCCGCGTTGCCACCGAGTTGGAAACCGGAATGGTTGCGGTGAATGCTGGAGTGGTATCGATTGTTCAAGCTCCTTTTGGCGGTATCAAGGAGTCGGGAATCGGTCGTGAAGGTTCACCGGACGGTTTGGAGGAGTATCTCGAATCTAAGATGGTGTGCATCGGCGGACTGGGCTAAGAAAATATGGCGGGTAGTACGCAATCTGCAGCTCGTTTTGAAAAATAATAATATGGCATTCAATTTATATAGTCGATGCTGTTTTCTCATCTCGTTTGAGGTGGGAGTGCCAGAAGACAGATTGTATTAAAGGAGATTTCTCTTAGCAGTGAGGCCGATAAAAATCGCTTGGTTCGATGCCCGACAAGTGTCATTGAACTCGGTAGACGTTTTGATATCTGTAATTATAAAAAAAATCCGTCCTATTGGAAGAAAATAGCGTTACAAGCATTGAAAACTCCCTTTTTTTAAGGGAGAAAAACAAACACAATCACTGCAGAAATTTAGCTGCGTGAGAAGCCTTTCAGCCGTTAAATACCTCCAAGTTCACTGTATGGCGCCTTTGCCATCTTTTTTTACCTAGGCACGACATGGGATCTCGCTGATGTCGTTAAGTCTTAATAAATTCGCGTTCTTGAACATAACACTGCCAGCACAGAGGCGATTCATGACCACTTTATTCAGAGGATGCAGCGACAGCAACCCATGGAGTATTTAAACCGCGCGAGTACTAATATTTTTTCAATGGAACGAAACCCATACGGAATTACCAACGTTAAACCGGATTTCCCTCAAAACTAAAAGTTGCTGGCAAAATCTTTATTGTTTCTTAGTAATAACAGAGAATAGAGGCGGACTCGCAGGCGGTTCACAGATCCTTTAATCTAGAACTTGCAGTTTCTGGACATCCTACTGGTGACTTATCTACGATATGCAATAAAAATAATTAATAATATATTTTCTGATTTTTTTTTACAGTATTCTGTGAATTTGATATCCAGAGTTGTAGGGGGCGAGTCATAACTAACTTTAACTTCTTTTACTCAGAGTCCAAACTAATTTTGTCAGCCCAGAACTTGAATATAGTTACTTGAGAACTTGATATACCTGTTATATAAGATCTAGATGTATTATCGTACCCAATATAACGGGTTTCTCTCCTGAACCTGCATAACGCGTCATTTCAGATTATATGGGATATGGTATCCATACTTTACTCAAGTAGAATCGCTCATCAAACCAGCTAAAAGCTGGGTGGACAGCCTCGCCAACATTAATTGGGCCAGACGCAAGTGTCGTCTGATCCTCTAACAACCTTCGCTCAACCAGGACATTTCTATTTGAGAAACTAAATAGAAGTATCGTATTGCTACTTAAGTAGTACAATGTTAGTGTTGCTAGTTTAAAGATTTGGGTGGGCTGTAAAGGCCAACAATGCAAGAACTCGATTCTAAAATGAGATGTTCCGGCTTGTTCACTTAGCACGTGTGCAATATATTCATAACTACACAGTCATAACTCGATTCGTCCAAATCCTGATTGAGTACCTCGGTCCAATTGTATCGATTATACAAGAATCTAGCATAACCGCAATCGGTGAATCTGGTTTGACCGAGTGTTTCTAAAAAGGTGAATATCCGGTCATCAAAACAAGGCTTTGACATGTAGACTTCAGGAGCTTGAAGTGCTGACTGGATCATGTCGGGTGGACTACACCAAAAGAAAAAGTACAAATCCCTACTCCTAACTTTTTAAGTACCTCCACCGCACTTGAAAAGTTAGGAGTAGGCAGTTTTGTACTTTTTCCCAACACACTACTGTAACGTTAGTTACTTCCGCTCTGAAGGGCTTGTTCACTCATGTACAGACGATCCCCTCGCTAGTAATCCCTAGAAATGGAATACTCCCTCAACAGCAATAAATTAGCGGTTCCCGTTGACCAGTCGCATACAAACCCAAGATATTGTTCCCTCTCACCCCTCTATCGTAAAATGGAATACATTTGAAGTCAAATGTTCCTATTCTGGGGTGCTTAACTATGGAAACAGTCATAACTGCATAAGAGCATTATTGCTGCCAAGTCCGATCCGAGTGTTGAACCGATGAAGCCTATTCTTTTGACTACTTTGGACGTGATTCGAGCTTTAGGATCATGGAGAAGTGCTTGACCTTCACTCTAATGGCACACCTGTGACTAGGGATGTGTGCAGCAATCGTTGAGTATTGGTGAGTGTGAGGTGGACTGGCTGGGCTAGAGAGGAGGGTATCTAGGTATGGTGAGGCAAAACTGGCAATAGGAGAGCAAAACAGGGTGGTTCGCCAGTAACGAGCTACATTAATCGAATGTTAAGTGTACCGTTCCAAACTGAAGGTACATGGATCCGTTTTTATGGTACATTCGTGGATAGAAATACCCTGAGACAGGAATAAATTGGCGGCTCTCAACGCTATGACTACCGAGGGGATCGTCTGTTTAATTTTTTTTTTGTATAAACTATAAGCAGCTTATGTCTTCTCTATCTAATGATTTGAAATGCTCTTTTTCTTTTAGCTAATTTTGCTGATCAGATGTTGTTTCTATTGGAGCGAACTTCCCAGCCACTTTAGAATCGTAAATCTGTCCCTTCTCAGGTTTAAAATACTAATCCCGGAGCCTTCTTTCAAACTCCTAGACAACAGATTTTAGTATCATGAACAAACTAATGTTTTAACGACGCGGGAATCGCTCCATTATTACTTCGAAGTACAGATGCAATCAAATGGTGCAGAACTTCCTTGCTGGACTCAACAGAAAATTTGTCAGCATCTGATTGAAGGACCTCCCCGAGCTGAACATCTGTGCCTCCAAATGAACTGTACATATATGCACATGTACTATTGTCAGTACTTATCCCTTTTCACTATCGATGCAGTTGCTCTTACCCATACTTTACATTTAAAGCAGTACAGTACTTAAAAATTTCTCTTGTTTACTCGTACATCTGACATTGAGTGTAAGGCATGAAACCTGAAAAATTCATTGCATGGGGAAATGCACGTCGCGAAACTCACATTAAAGAACTCTTTAACGTCGTTGCAGAGAGCTCCGTCAATCCATGAGTTTTGGGGCAGTGTGACACTATACCCAACACTGAGTGTCGGGTGTAGCTCTACATAAAATGTTCCATCTTCAAGGTGGCCAGGTACATGTACGGTTCTATTTCGATGCCATATTACAGCCCCCGCAGGTATTTATAACTTGCTCACAAAAGTCTTCCTGTGATGTGACACATAAACACTGTAAGTAAATTTAGCCACCGGTTTGCAACCTTCGCGACTTGTATGTACATTGTTAATAAATTGCGTGGTTAACTCGGTAGCCACTGCATTTTCATTTTATAACTTCAGCCAGCAGGAAAGTCATTGCTGTCGTCATCAGTATTTACATACAAAGAAAGCACACTCATCCTGGATTGCGATCAGTCATGTGCTTTCCAGGGATAGCTCCAATGTTCAGAAGGGATTGCATTAATTAATGAAATACATTAGAATTTGT